GCAAGTCACTTAACCCCAATTGCTTCACACACACAAAAAAGAGATAGATGTTCCGGGGGTGGTAAGCAGGAGGATAGAGAAAGAGGGGAAAGTACTGCCTATATTTAGACCAATATGTCACTAAATCTAATGTTGACCTACTGTCTGTAGTAACACTAGAGGTAATTGTAAAATTTAGCCAGTAAATAATTCATACTTCACGTGCTTCATCAATTCAAATCTCACTTCATTTGCTTATATTGCATTAAATAATTCCTGTATCACACTCACTGTCAGAGTCAATTTGTCATGTTAGTATCACTTTTGTTGGTTTTTATATGAACTTTATTTTCATTTTAGAAAATGAATGTATTTATATAGGAGTTATACTCAGAAATATCTAATCCCATGATTAGTGGCTGTGACCCTGGATTGTTGTTTGTCTATTCTCAAAGAGAACCAATGACATCAGGAAGGTGATATCTTGACTTGCAGGTGAATTGGACTTAAGTTGGGGAGGGCTGTCCAAAGTCACCAGCCTCACTCTCCCCTCCAGAGTCATCTGGATCCAGTGGCAAGACATAGATCAGGACCGGAGGTGGCCTCAGATGCAGTGGGAGGACCTTGTCCTTTTTATTTTTTGGCAATTTGGGGTTAAGTGACTTACCCAAGCGTCATACAACTAGTAAGTGTTAAGTATTTGGTCTGAGGCTGGATTTGAACTCAGGTCCTCCTGACTTCAGGGCTGGTACTCTATCCACTGCGCCACCTAGCTGCCCCTGACCTTGGCCTTTTTAAGCTAAGCTCTTTCCCAGATCTCAGTTTGTCTGAAGTAACACCCTATCAGTGATTAAAGCTAGGTAAGAAATGAAGCAAAGAATGGCCTCTTTTACCTATTAAAAAAAATCAATCTGGGAGGAGAATATCTTTCAGGGTTTCAGGTCAGAACAAAAACTCTGAGCCAAAAAAACCCAAACAATGACCAACTGAGACTTGGGTTGGGGCTCATTATTGACCAATCTGTGAGAGCTAGAGCAATTTGGGTTTAAGGTATAGCCAAGTAGCTCTATTTGAATCCTAATGGGCTTTATCAAGGCCTGGTTTAACAGAGCTCCATTTCAAGAAATTTATATTTCTTTGGGCAGAGCACCCACATGTAAGTGTATGATTCCCCATGTGGAGGGAGGAAGGGATGGAGGCGGGGAAGGAAGAAAGGAAGGAAGGAAAAAAGGAAGAAAAGGAAAACTGGATAAAAATCTAGCAAAGGAGATTAAGAAGGAGCAACCAGAAAGGTAGAAGAACAGTGAAGAGAGAGCAATGTTACAAAAAACATAGAGAGAAGAGATTATCAAGAAGAGGGTGATCAACCATGTCCGTGACTACAGAGATGTTACCAAAAAAAAAAAAGATTGAGATTGAGAAAAAAGCCATTACATTTTACAACTAAGAAGAGATCACTGGTAACTTTGATAGAGCAGTTTCAGTCCAATAATGAGGTCAGAAGCCAGACTATGAACAGTTGACAGAAAAGAAAGCAGTGACATCAAATGGAGGCACCTTTCTCAAGGACACCGATGATGGTCATAAACAATGCCAATGACTGCAGAGTGGTAGAGAAAGATGAGGATTAAGAAAAGGACATTAGAGTCGTGCCTTTGTTATTTGCTACTGGACTTCATTTTCTTCATCTGTAAAAAAGGGAATTGGACTGGAAGTCCTCTAAGCTCTTGTTCTATGATCCTATGACCAATGCCCAGCACAGAAGGGAAGGGGTTGGGAGTTTGCTGGGTTCAGTCATTTAGGGGTTTCTGTGGTTTAGGCCAAACTGTGCTGAAATTTAGAATCACCAAATCTTAGAAAAGGAAAGGATCTTAGAGGTCACAGTGCAAACTCTTACCCAGTGTCGGAATCAAATCTGATGACATCTTTGACAAGTGGTTATCTAGCCTCTATTCAGGTACTTCCATTAATGGGAAGCATACTACCCCAAGTCAGCTAGTTCATTTTTTTTACATTCTAATTGTTAGATAAGTATTCATTGAGTTAGAAAACTAGTGTATCAAAAAGCTAGAATATTTAGGGAAGGGCCAAACCCTCTTCCCCCCCCCCATCAAGAGGCTTACTATTTTCCTTGTGGATCTCTCTGGATCCAAGGAGAGCAATTTAAAACTAAGTGAGCCCAAGGATCAGCTCTGGTGCCTCTTGAGCAAAGACTGGAGAAATCTTTGAACACCAGGAAGAGGTTATAGTCCTCTTACACGTAACAATAATTTACCAAAGAGAGTCATGTTCCCTGTTAGGTCTAGGGTAATCTCTGTAGAGAAGCCTCTGTAGAACTCTGATGGAGACAGGTCCTTTCACAGATTTAAAGAAGCAGTGTGAGTGGCAGTGTTTCATTCAGCAACATTGATAGACAACTCAGCTACCTTTTTTTTTGTAATCGAGTGTACGTGTGTGTATTGAGAGTTTCCTTTCCCGTAGTAAAAAAAAACTGGAAAGGTACAAGATGTCCATGGCATTACAAGTTATGGTACATAATACATGTGGTAATAAAATATTATTATGCTATAAGAAAAATGAATATAATTAAAATGGGCATGGGATAACATAGGAATTGGATGCAAAGTGAAGCAAATAGAACAAGGAAAATAATATACATGATGACTACAATAATGTAAATGGAAAGAACAATAAAAACAAAATATTTAGAGTAGCACTCTTGTAGTAGCTCATAACTAGAAACAAAATAAATATCCTTCAATTGGGGAATGCTTAAGTAAGTTGTGGTACATGAATGTAATGGAATATTACTGGGCTGTAAGAAACAACAAACATCCAGACCTTATCACCTGGGCTCTGCCTCTTGTATCAGCAGTTTGGACATAATAGAACTGGGTCCCTCAGCCTGAGTCCCACTTGAGTGATGATCACCTTCTGCAGCCCTCCAGCCTCCGTGACCAGCCACCTAGGCTGTACACCTGCTGTGGTTCCAGAGCATGGAGACCAATCTTCCTTCAGACTGTGCAGAAACCTGCCCTAGATGAGTGAGGCCAACTCATGCTAGGGAGGAGATGCCAGGGAGGCTGCCCTGATCCTACATGATCTAGGCATACTTGGAACTACATTACCCTAGTCACCAGCCAAGGTACCCACACCTCTGCAACTCCTTGAAGAGCCATTTCCTCAAGGGGCTGGGGGGAGCAAAGGTGAAGCTATTTAAATAGCTGAACGACTAAACATCCTATGTCATCTTCTATTTAGTGAACCCTAAAACAATGAAGAGATTCATAACAGACTGCAACGTATTACCAATGGCTAACCGTGCGTAAAAATTGGCATGGGGGGGGAGGGATAGGGCACTGGCCCTGCAGTCAGGAGGACCTGCGTTCAAATCCAGCCTCAGACACCTGACGCTTAACATCTGTGTGACCTTGGGCAAGTCACTTAACCCCAATTGCTTCACCAAAAAAAAAAAATTGGCATAAAAGATATCATCCAAGATATGTATGATTAGAAAAATGAGGTAGGTAAAAAGAATAATAGCTAAGAGATAGACTGCTTAAGTGCTGCCCTGGCACCCACAAAATGTTAAAAGAGCTAAAAGACGGCTTCTAATATATTGGATTGATCTTCGACGAACAATCTATGGGGTGCTCTTGGCAAAAATGGAAGCATGAAAGATTCTGATCAAACTCAGCTCCATCACAGGAACAGTTAGGAACCCCTATCCCAAATACAGTGAGGGAGCAGAAAACAAGAAATGAACAAAAAAGATTGTAGGTGGGTATTCCCCTTTGGGGAGGGAAAAGACAGAACAACAAAGAACTATTTTATTTACTCTGAGTTATATTTGCCCAGCTCTGAGCTGGTGCTAAGGGACCACACTTTAGTATATTGCCCTATTTAGAAATGCAAGACATCCTTCTCCAGGATTGTAGGAAGAATCAGCATCCTAAAACCGTAATCCAAGCAGTGGGAGGGGGCAGAGTCTAAAGACCGTGATCTTAAATCTAAAGCTAAGAGAGGAAAGGGTCCAGAGACCCTGAGGCCTAGCTCGGGCCATGCCTTCCAGGACTATGGGAGGGGCACAGCTAAGAGAACATCTTGGCTTGGCATTAGCCTCATTTAGGATTGTAAGGTGGGAAAAGGCCCCAAAACTTAACTGTAGTTATTTGTTACAAGAGAGATTTTGATGAGAAGGAGTGTCATTAGGAGGTTATAGGTATGATGGGTTTTTTTAAGGATCAGTTAAAATGGACAAGAATAACATAGTATAGAAAAATGTGCACATCTGTGAGATCACAAATACATTATAAAATGTTCATTATATTCTTAAGAAAACAGAAAAATGTATAACACCAAAAATGGCTTTTTTAAAAGTATACTTCATTTATTTGGAAAAAAATCCATTCATATAAACTACTCATTACTCACAAAATTCCAGCTAAATGAAAATGTTTCTATATATGAAAATAAAAGCATTAATAACAACTCCTTATATGGTATTAAAAAAAATCCAACCTAGTGAGCTAGGTATTGCAAGTATTATCTCCATTTTACAAAAACAGTATAATGTGAAACTCAAGCAGAAAAAATAAATGTCCATGGTCATAGAGGTGAAGAGTATCAGAACCAAGAAAAACAATTCCAGCACTCTTTCCGTTTTACCACACCACTGTCTCTAAGACTATATATTAAATCAGCCATCAGAATTTGATGAAAATTAATTATTATGAAGACCTGTATTGCCGGCTTCCCCACAGGCATGATTTTTGAACTTTTGCTAGCTGGGGATAGCACTCATTGTTGCCATAGTAGTAGTACATAATAACAATAATGTACATCACTGGAGTGAAGCATAATATTAGTGCATATCTCATTTAATATTTATACTGAAGGCTTACTTGACCACTACTTACCTTATTTTAGGCCTAAGGATCTGTGCTGATTTGCTTTCCTTATGTTACCTATCTTGGTGGACAATGAAATATTATGTGATTTTCCTTTGTCCTCACATTCAGCCATCATTGGACCTCCTGGAATACAAGTAGAATCGCTGGCTGGTTCTTTATACTTACACTTTTCGTATCCAAACATTGAAAATGAACCTGACATGTGGACTTTGAGAGATTATTATTACTCATGGACTTACAACGTGCAATACTGGAAAAATGGCACCAATGATAAGGTAAGTCGGGATTTTTGCCTCTCTTTTGCAGAATTATTGAGGTTTCTCTTATTGATTCAAATTGATCTAGTTGTTCAAGTTCAAAATTAGAATGAAATGAAACATATGTAGACAGACCGTTTAAAAGTTCATGAAAGAGAGTGTACATTGCCATAGAAGAGAAAGAATATTTAGCACTGGTTCAGGTAGATATGGCCCCTCTTTGTCTCCATACAGGAAGGTATCGTAGGAGCAGGATGTGGTAACTAGTATGGCAGTGAGATATGCACCAAATCTGAGGGCTGCAGACTCCTCATAAACTTTCTCCTGCCCTTAAATGAACTGAGAAACTGTGTCAAACCTCAAGCCTGGCCCCCAAGATCAATCAAGTCTCAGAAAAAGCTTCCTTTTAGGGAAAAAAATAAAACCGGTCAAAACTATATAGCTGTATCTAGCTATATTAATTATATCAAATATTTTCAAAGTAGTTAGTAATTATGCTCCCAAAAACTTGTCCTGAAAATAGAGAAAAAAAGCACTCTAGAACCAAATTACTTTTGTGAGACATATGGTCCTGCTATTCAAACCAGAGAGAGACAAAACAGAGAAAGAGAACAATATCTTTAATGAATAGTAATGCACAATTTTTTTAAAAATGTACTCATAAACAGGGATAAGTACTAGAGTTGTGGGTTTGTTGTGGGTTTTTGTTTTTGGCGTAGGGAACTCCTAGTTGAGAATATTCCCTTTATTAATGAAGGTAAGCACCTTATCTGCATCTTGGAGTATTAGAGATTTGCCTATAGCACTGAGAAGTTAAGTGATTTGCCCAGGTAAATCAAACAATATGTGTCAAATATGGAACTTACATTAAAAAATAAAACAAAATAAAATCTAAGCTATTTGTGAAGATAACTGTGCATCCACATTGTTCCCTTGAGATAAGTTCCCCCTTTTCTTCCTCGTTAGAATTATTTCTGTTTGTATCTTCAGAATTTCTTGCTAGATTCAAGGTTGTTTCTCTATCAAGGTTGCTTAAACCAAGCTCTCTTATAGCCAGAAAATAATCCACTATGACCAGATTGTTTTCATAACAGTAATGCATAAATAATTCAGTATTAAAGAAAATTAGCATAATTACACAATCAAGGAAAACAGAAGGCACATGATTATTTCAATAGATGTAAAAAAACTTTTGACATACTACAGCACTCATTCATGTTAAAAACCCTAAAAATCATTATAGGGCCTTTCATTAATATGATCAAAAACATAAAATCAAAAACTAGCATTCTTCGCAATGGTGACACACCAGAAGCTCTACCAATACAAAAAGGAGTAAATCAGGTACGCTCTCTCTATGACGTAACTCTAGAAAAGTTCTGGAAAAAATAGCTATAGCAATAAGATTATCATCAAAAGGAAAATAAAATCATCCTTATTTGGAGATGATGATATATACTTTAAAAACACCAAAAAATCAGTAACTAAATTAATTCATAGGATTAGTACCTTGATTACAGCAGGTATAAAATAAATTCAGAAAAATCATTTCTATAAAGTACTAACAAAAACTAGGAAGGATTGATAAAGAATTCCTTTCAAAAATCATTACAAAATACACAAAATATCTTAATCTACAAATACACACACACATACACACACACACATACATACATGAATATGTAAATATGACTACAAAACATTTGACAGAAATAAAGGAAGACAAATAATGAAATGATGTTCACTGCTCATGGTTGAGCTGTGCCAACATAATAAAAAATTATGATACTACCTAAAGTAATTTACATTTTGTCATGTTAAACCAGGCCTGTACAACATATGGCCCTCGGGCTGCTTGTAGCCCACCAAAGGATTTCGGGTAGCCCATGAAAAATGTAGAGAATATAAAAGAAAATACAGATGTAATAAGAGCTTTATCCATGCCCACTTAACCCGCCTTCCACTAGTCACTACTGTGCTTGCCATGTAACTTGGAAAGTGGGTTGCCACTGCGCACTTTCTCCTGTTTGTCACATGACTCATGGCAACCAACCATCTGTCTCTAGTCTAAAAGAAGCAATTTCATGAGAAATAAAAGTCTTAAATAATAACTATAATTAATTGATGTTAATTGAAATTGCTAAATTTTTAAACATGGTTTATTTGCAAAATAGTTTAATCATTAATTATAACTTTACTTGGAAAGTGAGCCGCTAAAAACCTATCTGTGGTCCAAAGAAGTTTAGCCTATCTTAATTTTGGCCCCTACCTACTGCCAAGTTGTGCAGGTCTGTGTTAAAGCATTCAAGCTACAGAGGGAATACTTTAAAGAACTAGACAAATTAGTAAAATTAATTTGGAAGAAAAAAAGACATGCAGTCCCAAGGGAATTAAGAGTAAATAGTCCAAATAAAAAGGACATAGACCTCAAACAATTTTATTATGAAACACTCATCATTAAAACTATTCAGTATTAGGGGATTTGTTTTTTTTACAAACTAGAGAAATAGATCAGTGGAATAGCCCAGAATAAGCAAGAAACAGGTGCAATTGAAAGTAGGTGCTCAGTGTTTGATAAATTTAGCAACATAAATTACCAAGGGAAGAGCTTCCTTTTTGACAATAACTGTTTGGGGGAAGTAGAAAGTAGTTTATTGAACATTAGATTTAGACCAACATCTCACCCCATGTAAGCTTAAGCAAGCTTAAAATAGATATATACAATAAGTTTGAAATAGATATACAACTGAAATGTCAAAGATTACACCATAAAAAGAAATTATAAGAGAATGAGATCAAGTACTTTTTACAACTGTGGCTAGGAAGAGAATTTGTAATTAACAAAGACACAGAGATGATAAAATATAAAATTAATAATGTCATATATACAAAATTTTAAAATACTTTTGCATAAATGAAATCAAAGCAAATAAAAGAAAAATGGTGAACTGAGTAAAATATTTCTATCAATAAAAGTCTGATATCATACATATGTGTGTATGTATGTATGTATGTATATATGTGGAGAAAGAGAAAAAGACAGAGTTGAATCATAGATCTAAAGATGGAAGGGACCTTAAAAGTCATCTAGGGGGGTGGAGCCAAGATGGAAGAACTGAAAATTTACAGTTCCCTACAAGTATCTCTGAAAACAGCTGTACAAACCCCCGAAGCTTGGGACAGTACATTCTCCACGTTGGAAGCAGACTTTACCTTAACAAACAGTTGAAAACTCAAGTAATTGGCTGGGATCATGAGCAAATCTCGCAAAAAGAGTCAGACTATATTATCTTACTTTGGTGAAAAAGAAGATCAAAATATACAACCAGAAGAAGACAACAAAGTCAAAGCTCCTACATCCAAAGCCTCCAAGAAAAATATGAATCAGTCCCAGGCCTTGGAAGAGCTCAAAAGGGATTTTGAGAAGCAAGTAAGGGAAGTAGAGGAAAAACTGGGAAGAGAAATGAGAGTGATGCAAGAAAATCATGAAAAACAAGTCAACAGCTTGCTAAAGGAGACCCAAAAAAAAATACTGAAGAAAATAACACCTTAAAAAATAGCCTAACCCAAATGGCAAAAGAGGTCCAAAAAGCCAATGAGGAGAAAATGCCCTAAAAAGAAAAATTGGCCAAATGGAAAAGGAAGTCCAAAAGATTACTGAAGAAAATACTTCCTTAAAAATTAGAATAGAGCAATTGGAAGATAGTGACTTTATGAGAAATCAAGACACTGTAAAATAAATCCAAAAGAATGAAAAATTAGAAAACAATGTGAAATATCTCATTGGAAAAACAACTGACCTGGAAAATAGATCCAGGAGAGAGAATTTAAAAATTATTGGACTATCTGAAATCCATGATCAAAAAAAGAGCCTAGACATCATCTTTCAAGAAATTATCAAGGAAAACTGCCCTGATATATAGAACCAGAGGGCAAAATAGAAATTGAAAGAATCCACAGATCTCCTCCTGAAAGAGATCCCCAAAGGAAAACTCCTAGGAATATTGTAGCCAAATTCCAGAGTTCCCAGGTCAAGGAGAAAATATTACAAGCTGCCAGAAAAACAATTCAAGTACTGTGGAAACACAATCAGGATAACACAAGATTTAGCAGCTTCTACATTAAAGGACCGCAGGGCATGGAATATAATATTCTGGAGGGCAAAGGAGATAGGATTACAACCAAGAATCACCTACCCAGCAAAACTGAGTATAATCCTTCAGGGGAAAAATGGTCATTCAGTGAAATAGAGGACTTTCAAGCATTCTGATGAAAAGACCAGAGCTGAATAGAAAATTTGACTTTCAAATACAGGACTCAAGTGGAACATGAAGAGGTAAACAGGAAAGAGAAATCATAAGAGACTTATTAAGATTGAACTGTTTACATTCCTGCATGGAAAGATGATATTTATAACTCATGAGACCTTTGTCAGTATTAGGGTAGTTGGAGGAAAAAAATTATATGTATGTAGATAGATAGATAGATAGATAGATAGATAGATAGATAGATAGAGGGCACAGGGTGAGTTGAAGATTAAGGGGTCATATCTGGAGAATAAAATTAAGGGATGAGAGAGGATTATACTCGAGAAGAAGAAAGGGAGAGGTAGAATGGGGTAAATTATCTCACAAAAAAAAACAGAAAAAAAAGTCTCTTACAGTGGAGGGGAAACAGGGGGGTGAGAGGGAATGAGTGAATCTTATTCTCATAGGATTTGGCTTAAGGAGGGAATAACATACACATTCAATTGGGTATGGAAATCTGTCTTACCCTACAGGAAAATAGGGGGAGAAGGGGACAAGAGAGCAGGGGGATGATAGAGAGGAGGGCAGATTGGGAAAGGGGTAATCAGAAGTAAATACTTCTGAGGAGGGACAGGGTCAAAAGAAAGAATAGAATAAATGGGAGGGCAGGATAGGATTAAGGGAAATAGAGTTAGTTTTTCACAACATGTCTACTATGGAAGTGTTTTGCATAACTGCACATGTACAACCTATATTGAGTTGCTTGCCTTTTCAATGAGGGTGAGTGGGGAGGGAGGGAGAAAATTTGAAACCTAAAGTTTTAAAAACATATGTTTAAAAAAAAAGTTTTCACCTGCTACTGGGAAATAAGAAATACAGGAAATGGGGTACAGATGTATATCCTGCCCTACAGGCAAATAGAAGGGAAAGGGGATAAGAGAAGGGGGTTGAGATAGAAGAGAGGACAGAGTAGGGGAAGGGATATTCAGAATGCATGCCATCTTGGGGTGGGGGAAGGGGTGAGATGGGGTGAAAATTTGGAACTCAAAAACTTGTGGAAGTGAATGTTGAAAACTGAAAATAAACAAATTTATATAAACAAAAGAAAAAAGTCATCTAGACCAACCCCCTCATTTTACAGATTAGGATACTGAAGTCCATGGGGCAGCTAGGTGGCGCAGTGGATAGAGAGCCAGTCCTGAAGTCAGGAGGACCTGAGTTCAAATTGACCTCAGATCAAACACTTGACATGTACTAGCTGTGTGACCACGGGTGAGTCACTTACCCCCAATTGCCTAGCAAAAAAATAAATAAATAAATAAAAGAAAAACAAACTTCAGTGAAAACAAAAAGGATACTGAGGTCCTGAGAAGTTAAATGACTTGTCCATGATAGTGTGAGAGCTAGCATTTAAACTCAGGTTTTATGATTCCAAGTTCAGCACCACCAGGTCAGCACTTTTTTAGTTACACCATATTGCCTCTCAGTTAACACAAATATTTAATACCAAGAGCCATTTCTCACTAGATAAGACATCAGAGTATATGAACTGAGCATTCAAAAGTGTTAAAATGTAAATGACTCTATTAAAATATGATCAAAATCACTAACAGTAAAACATAGAAACTGAAACATCCCTGAAGTCTGACCTCATACCATAGAACTTGGTCACACAAAAAATGTCAATAACTCTTGTTATAATATGGGGAAAGGAGAAAGCACACTAATTCATATGGTAGAGCTGTAAAGTAATATTTCTGAATCTCAGTTAGAAATTATGCAGGAAAATGAACAAAGTGTCCATAAGTTTTCACCCAGAAATTCCAGTGCTAGGCATATAACCAAAGAAAGTCAAAGATGGAAACGAAGATCTATTATCTACCAAAATATTCACAGTACCACTCTTTGTGGTATCAAAGAACCAGAAATTAAGTGGCTAGCCATTAACTGCAGAACAACTGAGAAAATACTGTGATGTTTAAATGAAGTAGAACATTGTTATACAGTAAGAAAAGATGAATGTGAGGAATTCAGAGAAACATGGTAAGATTTATATGAATGGAACAAAATAAGCAGAACTAAGAGAAAAATATATACAACCACAATATATAACCATGTAAGGAAAAGTTAACAAAATACAAATAAAATTTTGAGTAATTGAAAAACCAGTGAGGGTCCCATAGAGCACATAGCTCTACCACTCTTGGCAAAGAGGCAAAGTGCTATTAGGACAGATCTTGTATATACTGTCTGATTTAAAAGTAGACATTATTGCGTAATTGTTTTCCTCTGTCTCAAAGTAGAACTTAATCAAGAGTCGATACAGAGACAAAATGATAAGGATGTAAAGACAATAAGTATCAATAAAATAAAATCTACTTTGGTTGCTAAGATCCCTATGTACCCATATTGTTCACTTGAAAAAGTTCTGCCCCTTTTTTCTTCATCAGAAGCAGTAATAGATGAGGTTTAGGCTAGCATCTATAAACAGCTATTCCATCCTGAGCAGCTGATCTCTGGCAAGGACAATGTTGCTAATAACTACGCCCAAGGCCATTATACTGTTGGGAAGAAAATAATTGCTCTTGTTTTAGAGAACATCAGAAAATGGTTGGACCAATGCACAGGGCTACAGGGATTCCTGATATTTCACAGTTTTGGGGGCAGTACAGGTTCAGGTTTCACCTCTCTGCTGATGGAAAGGCTCTCTATTGACTATGGCAAGAAGTCCAAGCTGGAGTTTGCCATCTACCCAGCCCCACAGGTATCCACAGCTGTAGTAGAGCCCTATAATTTCAACCAAACTACTCACACCACACTGGAGCACTCAGACTGTGCCTTCATGGTGGACAATGAAGCAATCTACAACATCTGCCACCAGAACCTGGACTTTAAGCACCCTACATATACCAACCTCAACCGACTCACTGGCCAGATCATTTCCTCCATCACTGCTTCTCTGTGCTTTGATAGTGCTCTCAATGTAGACCTTAAAGAGTTCCAGACCAATCTGGTGCCTTATCCTCAAATCCACTTCCCCCTCATCACCTATTCACCCATTGTCTCTGCTGAAAAGGCCTATCATGAACAGCTCTCTGTGGCACAGATCTCCAAATCCTGCTTTGACCCCTCCAACCAGACAGTAAAGTGTGACCCACATCATGGCAAATATATGGCCTGTTAAATGCTGTACCGAGGTGATGTGGTGCCCAAGGATGTCGATGCCACCATTGTCAATTCAATCAAGACCAAGAGAACCGTTCAGTTTGTAGACTGGTGTCCCGCTGGCTTTAAGGTTGGTATCAATTACCAGCCCCCAACTGTGGTACCTGGTGGAGACCTGGCTAAAGTACAATGGGCAGTATGTACGCTCAGTATCACACAGACATTGCTGAAACATGGGCCTGTCTAGATCACAAGTTTTACCTTATGTATGCCAAGCAGGCATTTGTGCATAGTATGTGGGTAAAGGTATGGAGGAAGGAGAATTCTCGGAGGCTCAGGAAGATGCCCTGGAGAAGGATTATGAGAAAGTAGGCATAGACTCTATAGAGGGTGAAGATGAAAGTGAGGAATTCTAGAAGGCATCCAGTAAATAAGTTTACCTGAACTACCCATCTTTTATATCTTTCTCTTTTCCTACCACCACAAAATAAAATCTCTTCTTACTTGCAAATTAAAAAAAAAATGTCAGTGATTGAGGGATAACATATTATGTGTATTCACTGTGCAAAGTAAAAGAAAAGAATTTGACTTCTTGGCATATCATTTGAGTTAGAGAATTAAGGGAGTGGGATGCTTATCAATAGTCATCATTGGTTAAACAAGGTCCTCCTAGAGAGAAGTGGGATATAGTCATCATCCTAATACTTCCCTGAATATGTGTTGTAAGACCTGAGTATGTGTTATAACTGGTCATTGAAAAATTAAATTGTTCTTTATCTGTGGCATTTACCTTCGGTTCATCTTCAATTTTAGTTGGAAAAAAATACTCGATATGACTCTGAAGTCCTTACTAATCTGGATCCTTGGACAGTTTATTGTCTTCAAGTTCAAGGGTTTATAATGGATAAGAAAAGAAGTGGAGAATGGAGTCAGCCTGTCTGTGCCCAGACTACTGATAATGGTAAGTGTTGCATGAATTTTCTCATCAGTTCAGCCAACTAATGTCAGTTAAGCCAGCACAAACCAGAGGACTGGTTTTATTATAATCGGAGTGTGACATACTCCAACAGCAGTTGAAAGACAATATGTCATTCACAATTCAGCTAGCAATACTTATAAAGGAAAAATAGACAATTGCTCATTGTTACAATTGTTACAAAAAGGAAGTAGAGTATACTTGTTAAGGAAAATGTATATTAGGGGGCAGCTAGGTGGCTCAGTGGATAGAGCACTGGCCCTAAAGTCAGGAGGACCTGAGTTCAAATCTGGCCTCAGACCAAACACTTGACACTTACTAGCTGTGTGACCCTAGGCAAGTCACTTAACCCCAATTGCCTAAAAAAAAAATGTGTACCATTAGCTACAGGAGATAGAGGAGGAATATGTATCCTTGTTAGTACAACTAGTTTCACTAAATCAAAGGTTGCTACCTGTTAGGCTAGATGATGGAGGATGACATTCTAGAGACTCTGAAATACGCTTTTTTTTTATCAATTGAGTCTTTTTATACCAATTGGAGGAGATGAGAAGACACCGAAAGAAGACAGCTGCTGCACATGGTCTTGCGGTTCTTACGCACATATGCAAAATGCGATACATACACACAACAAAACAGAAGCAGTCATGCACTCCAAAAAATTATCTTTCAACATAATTCCTGAAATATTAACTCTATAATTGTGCCATCTTTGAGATTGCTATTGCTTTACTCAGGTCTTAAAAGAATCACACAGTCTCAGACATACTCCAGCCTCCTACCTAATTTAGAACTCTACAATATCACTAACAAGTAGTTATCTAACTTTTTCTCAAATATTTCCAAGGAATGAGAGTTCACTTCTTTTCAAGGTGGCTTATTCATTTCTGGACCTTTTTCAATTATTTACATCAAGTTAAGGCCTATGATTTCCACTCTTTGGACTTCATTCTGCCCACCGAAGCTATAGTGAGTACATTTAAATCTTCCATTTGGCAGTCCTTCATGTATTTAAAGATAGCTATCATACCTCCTCCAGATTTTCTATATTTGCACATCCCTAGTGCCTTTAATCATTTTTCATATGATCAGATGTCCAGATCCTCTCCCATCCTGGCTGCCCTCTCATGTGGGAAGGAATCAATCGGTCCTTTCCTGCACTACAAAACTCTTAAACATGAGTTTTGAAGTTCGGCTTTTCTCTCAGCTGCTATAATGGTTGTTAAATGGAAAATAGAGAGAGACTGCAGCTTTGCATAGCTTTCTTTCCCATGGAGGCATGCTGGAAAAAAGCAGCCCACTCATAGTCAGCAGGAGCCTCCAAGGAAGAAGTAGTGTAATTCTTATGTACTCCTAACAGGGACTTCTCTCTATTACATGGTTGCCTGACACAGGTAGCACTGGTGTCCCATGAGGTCTCCCTCAGGTAAGTTGCTTATTAACCTGCCCTTCACTGTGGCCTGACCCAAATTCCTTCCCACTACAATCTACTCCCAGACCCTTTGCTTCGCATGCTCTGGGCAGCCGGGGTCACTGATTGCTTAAGGTGGGGTTTAAGGAATTGTTTAGCACAATTAACACAATGTCAACATTCAAATTGCATGTCCAGTACTGTGAACATGTGGCACAATTCAAAATGCTGTAGTTCTGCTGTAATTCGACATATGCATTCCTAAAAATCACCATGCTATGCAAAATTGTGCAATAAAAACCAAAGGGCTTATGAGAAAAGTGGGTTTAGGAGCACAGCATTCAAAAACTTCATCACTGATATATTTTTTAAAAAGGGGATAGGAACCTAACAAAAACAACAGCACAGTTTTTATACATGCTAAATAAATATATAAAGATTATAATAAATATTGGTGATGTTTGTGGCCCTAGGGCTACTCATTGGCCTGTGTACCCAGTTCTCAAGGGCTTGGGCTGGCCAAGTAGACAGATACAGTTAAGAAGATGGCCTCAGTGGGCCACAAATATGGTAAGGGGTAGCCATGACAGAAGGTAGTGGGTTGTGGGTAGACTGCATTGGTGCAGACCAGTTCTCTTTTGTCTACCAGAAAATATACAATAAATATGACACTTTACCTTGAAAGAGATCTGGTTTGTTTGTGCATCAGAAGAATTGCAACTTATGAGTTGTGGTGAAGCAGTGATGTTTTCTGCAGTCTCATTATTCTTCCCAGACAAAATTGCACATAAGCAAATGAAAAATTTGAGTTATATTTGTCTCCTACTATATAAATTGTGTTGGAATAGATTTGCATTTTTAAAACAAGTGTGACAGCACACTTGACTGTAGAGAAGGAATATGTATCCTTGTTAGTATAGCTAGTTTCACTAAATCAAAGGTAGCTACTTCTTTTTTAGCAATTAAGTCTTTTTATACCAATTAGAAAAAGAGAGAAGACATTGAAGGAAAACAGTTGATGAATATGGTCTTGCGGTTCATATGCACATATGCAAAATGTGACACATACACGAAGCAAAATGGTCAATATCGGCCAAAATGGTTGTTCTGCATGTTTTCTTAAATGCAAAAAGATCTGACCCCTATCTTGACTTCCTCTCGGCTTGGTCTAGGTTTTAAAATGCAAAATGATTCACCTGTATTATTTTATCAGTTTATTATAAATTGGCTCATTTTTTTTTCTCCAGGAAAATTTTGAACTATAACATTTGTCTCATTTTCCATTAAGATTCTTATCTCCTCATCTTCCTGTGGTCAAAGAGAAAAACACGTGTATCATAGTTTAGAATATATTTGGTCATGAAATAGGAAGATAAAACACAGTTTTGAGACTCCAAAGTGAATGAATCACTGCCACTTCTGCCAAGGTCTGAATTTTTGAATGGGTTGAAAGATTTGAAATCCCTGAAGATAGTAGTATCCATGAGCTGGCACAGCACCATAGGAAAAGTCAACTTCAGATTCTCCCTTGTAGCACCCTCCTCTGGACTCACTCTCCCAACCTGCACTTGCAGAGACAGTTTGGATCCTTAGAGAATGATGTCTCTTGCTCCCCTACAAGTTCTGTAGATAACCCTGGGAGGTTGCGATTTCTAGTTCTGCGGTTTATGAGCTCCCATCTAATGTCCTCCCCATTATCATTCTGAAGACCAGAGTTCAAATCTAACCTCAGACATTTACTGGCTAGTGTGTGACCCTGGGCAAGTCAGTTAAGCTTTGCTTGCACAAAACTGAAAAAGGAAATGGCAAACCACTTCAGTATTTTTGCCAAGAAAACAGTCATGTTCACCAGTCATGAATAGTTGGATATGACTGAACTATTAGCTTTTAGAAAAGGACTTTGCTGAGAAGGTATATCAAAAAGAATAGTTATAAATCATCCTTCCCCACCACCAAAAAAAAAATGGGCAAACTCAGTCTCCCTGAGGAGACTGGGCTCAAGTTTAAAGTGTAATAGTAGTGAAGTACATGTAGAGAGAACATGTGTGGCCAAGGGAGAGACCTCCTGAATATTGGCTCTGGAAGTCTTTTTCTTTGTGGAATCCTGATGAGGTTTCCTTAGGTATAATGTAGCTCAATGCTGAGCTCTGCGATGTATAAAAGAGAGACATCGTTTCTGGCTAATTAATCATTTTATTAATTATTGCATTTGGCTATCTCTCCTAAACCAAAAGAGGAATCATGGCAGCTTCATGACTCTTACATTCCCTTGGGAGAGTGAGTGTTCCCGACAGTAGACAGTCAACTCTAATTAGTTAACAATTAATGAGAAAAATGGATATTATAATAAGAGGTGGACCTATTCTGATGAGGGTCTGGGGGAATGTGACTTTGATTATGTCACTCATGGACAAAGACAGACTATCTCAAACCAGAACACTCCCAGCCTTGGGCAATCTAGACACAGGATCTACCCCACCACCCACACCTCAGCAGAACACAATGGGCGGGAATTCACCTTAAACTAAAGTCTTTGTAAGGTTTTATAATTGGATATAATCTCCCACCCAGGTTTGAAAAGCATGTACCCCAGGATTTGGGCAATCTCATCCATCAACAGTGTCCTTCAGAGACTGAACAACCTTAGGTTTCTGGTTTCTGAATGAGGAAATAAGGAGGGGAAACCTTTATCCTAATTTAATAATTGGTTATTAATATAAAAGAGGAATAATCATTTCTCTCAGCTCCAAGGATCAGTGCATTTCTAGAATCCATACCCCCAGCATTTCTATCATGAGGGATCACCATCCCTAAAGCTGCCACCCTCCTTGGGGAGCTGGCTTTCTACCTGTATCTTCAGGGCCTTCTGTAGTCAGCTACTACTACTCCAATGGACTCTTACCAACTCTAGGTGCTGGTGGAAATTCTGATATTCAGGAACATAATGGGAGGGGACAGAGTAAGGCAAGAGTGGTGCCAGTTTCCTTCCTCCACCTGGCAACTCACAGCAATCCTTCTTACCTGAAAATGACCATGAAAAAGATTGAGAGGTCACCCATTTGAACTTTTTTTATGCACACTGAATTCCTACTCAGTCTTTCCTAAATCATCAGTCCATCCAGCTAAGAAAACAAGTAGAAGACTACATCAGCAGCAACTCTGCTTGGCTTCTACTCCAGGAACAATATGCCCACCGCCTACCACAGATCCAGGATGAGCTGATAACCAGAAATCTTATCACCTTGAAGAAAGACTCAGGTTCATCTTCTCAACTCACCCTCAGTGGCTTTTCCCATCTGATTGGAGGGCTGGAGGGTGGGGCACTAAATGCCCCTCAAAGTGTTCCTTTCTTTATAGAGGGCTCGTGACTTTCCTGGTAACTCCATTCTCCATCTGCAGGTTTTGACTCCGCCTGGAACATGCTCCCACTTTTGACACCCTCTGGCCTACCTCTCCCTGTTCTGGGCCTCAAGCTTCTTTTGGTGTGTTGTCTCCCCCTCCACCCACCCCCACCCCAGATTATAAATTCCTTGAGGGCAGGGATTGTCTCTTTTTCTTATTTGTATCCCCTGCTTAGCACAGTTCTTGGAACCTTTTGTTCAGTCATTTTTCAGTCATGTCCCACTCTTCATGACATGGGTTTTCATGGAAGAGATATTGGGGTGGTTTGCCATTTCCTTCTCTAGCTCATTTTACAGATGAGGAACTGAGACGAACAGGACAAACAAGAACTGTGACTTGCCCAGGGTCACACAACTAGTAAGTATCTAAGGCCAGATTTGAACTCAGGAAGCTGAGTCTTCCTGACTCCAGGCCCAACACTCTATCTCATTGTGCCACCATTTATTGAACTGAATTTTTAAGTATTAACTAGGAGTTGACACTTTCAAAGAAAATCAGTTAGCCCTAAATCTATTGTTTCATTGTTACATTTTAAATGGGAAACACATTCTTATTCTTTGGATACAAAAACCAGCCTTTAAAAATGTGAGTGGGAAAAGCATGTATCTTAACTATTACTCTTGAGCCAGCTGTTCTCTTTCCCTACAAGTTCTTTTGTGTCTAGGATTGGTGTCAGAAGATACTTCCTAATGACTGTGAAAATAAACTTCGCAAAAATTGAATTCTTGAGAGAAATTATGTCTTTCTTTCCTATAGGGTCACATCCATACTGGACTTATGTTACTGTGCTCATTGTATCGATGATAGTGGTTTTAATGTTGGTGCTTGGTTGTTTCTGCATGCTGTGGTACTTCTACAGAAAAGTAAAGTGTATATTCTTCCCTGGGTATTCTTTTCCTCAGCATCTGAAAGAGGTATTTTTTTTTATATGTATATGTATACATATGAAATATTTAAGCAGTCCTCTTCCCTGTCTGTGTATTTACCTTATACCTCATTATTCCATAGATGGGTAAATTCTAGCTATATAAAATTATTTGCCCAGGATTAAATCATGAATCCCAAATCTTTACCTTTGGGTTACAAAAGAAGACATATGCATTCCCTTGCTGGGGTTATCAGCCTCTGGACAGTTGAAAATAACACACACACGGTATGTTGATAACTCTGCCCTGTTGAAGTATTCACATCAGTGAAGTCTATAGCCATGGTCAACACAAGGCAAACTTATGAAATAGGTCATTTGTCTTCCAAAAATCTCCACCTTCCCCTTTTTCACTCTTTCTCCTCACCCACTTTCAATGGTTCCCTTTTTGTCCCAAATGTCCTGTGTTGTAAGGGGAGAAATTTGCTAAATTAATCCACATTAAGGTTCTAGTCATTCTTTTTTTAATAGTATTTTTAATATATGTGAAGACAATTTTTCGCATTCATTTTTACAAAATTTTGAGTTCCAAATTTTTCTCCCTCCCTCCTTCTCCTCCTCTCCTTAAATGGTAAGCAATTTGATATAGGTTATTATATATGTACAATCATATAAAACATACTTCTGTACTAGTCATAGTTGGTACTAATCATTCTTAATGACCTCCAGGAGTACTTACATTTTAAAAGAAGCCTAGAAAAGAAAATGTTTACCTCACTGTCTAATTAATTGTAGGGTGAGAAGATAATGTTTTCTTGATGCTACTCAAATGATACTTGGTAGTTAAAGCATGCTCCACACTTTTGTAAGGCCAAGCTGTTTGCCAATAAATAAATATTTTACACCATATTGCCAAAGTACTGACTTCATTTGGCTAAAGAGCAATGTAATCATTTCACCATCATAAACAACAACAATAATATAGTGGAGACCTGGGGCAGCTAGGTGGTGCAGTGGATAGAGCACCGGCCCTGGAGTCAGGAAGACCTGAGTTCAAATGTGACCTCGGACACATAACACTCACTAGCTGTGTGACTCTGGGCAAGTCACTTAACCTCAACTGCCTCACTAAAAGAAAAAAAAATTCTTTAAAAAAAAAAAAATATATATATATATATATAGTGGAGACCAGAGACACAGTCTCTACCCTTCATAATGCTTAAATTCTAAAGGAAGAGATAGGTCAAATTTAAGTAGAAGAACCCAAAATTCATAACACATTATAAAATTCTAGCACAGCCAAGAGATAACCAAAGAGATAGACAAGTAGTCAGGGAACGATGAAGACGTTAGAATAACTGAAACAGTGCAATCTCGCTTCAAACAGACCAATAAGTGAGCTTTAAGCAGTATTTGAAAAGAAATTAGTCATTTCCTGAGAGGAAGTAGTAATTACCTATTAGAGGAAGAGGCTAAGAACATGTACATGGTCAAGAGATGCTAGCAGAAGCTAGAATAAAATTTGTTGTTGTTCAGTTGCTTTTGACTCATTGTGACCCTATTTGGAGTTTTCTTGGCAAAGATACTAGAGTGGTTACCCCGTTATCCTTCTCCAGCTCATTTAACAGATAACAAAACTAAGGAAAATAGGGTTAAGGTTAACTTTCCCAGGGTCACACAGTTCATGAGTGTCTAGGCCAGATTTGAACTTAGGAAAATTAGCCTTCCTAACTCCAGGCCTAGCACTATATTCTGTCACCTGACTGCCTGAGAATATTAATTAGGGCTGACCAGATAAAGTAAAAGAAACTGCAAATTAATGTTTTTACTCTGGCTTTGGAGTAAGAATATTAAGTTAAAACATACAGCAATTGAGAACCATTGTAGGCTTCCGAAAATAAGACAGTATACCTAAAGCAACTTTCTTTAAGAAGGGAATTATTCCATTTTATGTAGGGAAACTAAAAGAAGAGTGAGTTGTTAAAGACCAGAAGATAGGGCAGGCTGTGTAGCAACCTAGGCACACAGGACTATTGGAATGGACAATGAGGTAGGGATTCTAGAAGTGTAAAGAAAAAGGCAAGGCGGGGCCACTAGGTGGTGCAGTGGATAGAGCAACCAGCTCTGGATTCAGGAGGACCTCAGACACATAACACTAGCTGTATGACCCTGGGCAAGTCACTTAACCCCATTGCCTAGCCAAAAAAAAAAAAAAGGCAAGTGTATGTGAAGAGAGAGACAGAGAGACACACAAGATATGGGCACTGAAAAAGAGAACTGCGGAGTCCATATAGCTTGAAGGACTTGAGTGGTGATAGTGCTATTGACAGCATTAGGAAATATGTTTTGGCCAAAACCCTCAGGGTCTTCCCCTCCTGGATCAATTTTTTTTATTTTTTTACTAAATGAAGAGGCCATTCGTTGCCTCATTTTTTTTTATTAAGCCTTAATCTCTGAATGGGCACTGCCTCAGTCAAATTGAGACCTGTTAAAGACCTTAGCTTGAAAAGACCAAGGTCCCCCACTGCATCCTGGGCCATCAGCCAGTCATCCTGACCTATATCTTGCCACTGGACCCAGATGGCTCCGGGGCAGAAAGTGAGGCTGGTGACTTTGCATACCCCTCTTTCACTTAAATCCAATTCACTTGCATGTCATGGCATCACTTCCCTGATGTCATGGTCCTCTTGGAGAACAAAGGACAAACAATAACAACAGGAAATTTGGGAACTGCTAAGGATTTTGAGGGGTAAATATTATGCTCAATATTAGACACATGAACACTGCTAGGGAAAATTTTTAGTGATTGAAATAATAACTGATCTAAAGGTTTAGAATCTTCTATACATAGCAGTTTGTTTTTCTTTCGTATGCCCACTCCTTAGCACGGTGTCTGGCACATAGTGAACACCTAATAAATGCATATCACTTAAAGAAAACCTAATAAAGGAATGAACTTTATAAGGCAGTGAAGACCAAGGGCCTCAGAAATGAGCCTTAAGGGTTGAACAGTCAGGGAGCCCACTTGCTAATTGCAGTCATCTACAATAATGTGAACAAGGTAAAACAACAAAGAAGAATCAAGTAAAGGCCAGAGTCCCCAGGGGATGCATAAACTAATTATAGGGAGTGCAGGAAGGAAAGCTTCTCTGGTATTGCAGGTTTCTGGCACATGCTACTCTATATAAGCAGCTGCTGCAGCTGTAAGCAGGCACCAGTTCCTCTCTCTCCTCTGGCCCACCCTAAGGGTCACATTGAGGCCCCGGAAGCAGGTACAGATGCAGGCTGAGTGAGAAGATTACTGGGAGGAGTCTTTACTCCTGAATTTGTCCTCACTACCACCACCTGGGGAAAATATCAAATTCCACTTCCTCCAAGCCAGTCAAGAGTCTACTTCTCAGACCTTCAGCATGAACCTACTGGCTTTATGAAATATGGAAGGTCCATATTTATTTTTCCAAAGTTCACTTGTGGTTTGCCTGTGTCTTTGAGTCAAGAGAAATAACAAGGAAAAAATCTTTAGTTATATTAAACCAGATGTAGTTGCTGCCATCACCTCAGAACCATAAAATGTAGACCTTTCCCCCTTCCCCTGCCCTGAAGAAGGGATGATAGGAATCATCTAGCATAGTCCTCTCATTTTACCAACGAGGAAACTGAGGATCAGAGAGGTGTCATGATCATACTAGGTAGCTGGAGGCAGAATCCTCTGACCTGACCTGACCTCTGACCTGAGTCCAGTGCTCATTCTATTGGGTTGAATTTCTAAAAGGACTTTTAAATGGAATATAAGAAGTAAATTACAACAAAAAAAAACTCATAACAGTGTATAGAGCACTGGCCTTGGAGTCAGGAAGACCTCAATTCAAAGCCGGCCTCAGACACATAACAATCACTAGCTGTGTGACTCTGGGCAAGTCACTTAACCCCAATTGCCTCACCAAAAAAAAAAAAAGAAAAAAGGAAAACCTAACCAGGAAGGGATGGAAAATGAAAGAAATAAAGGAGAAAAATAAGAAATTTTAAATTCATTAAATGCTTCTACATATAGAGCATTGGATGGTAGAGGACAGAGAGCCATAAGGAATACAAAATATCAAAATCACAGAGATAGAAGGAACCTAAGAAATAGCATATTCCAACCTATTCATTTTATGGACAAGGAAACTAAGTTTTAGAGAGGTTAGTGGCCTTTCCAACGTCATGAACCCAGTCAAGGTCAGAACTAATAAACCTAAGTCTCCTGAATCAGGGTCCAGTATTCCCTCCACCATATCTTGTAACCTTAGTGTTAATCACACAGCATCCCAATCAGGACAGAAAATATCCTTGATTTTCAAGAGTAAACATTTTTGGAGAGGTTGGAGGAGGCAATCAGGATTAAAGTGACTTGCCTAGGGTCACACAGCTAGCTTCTGAGGTCAGATTTGAACTCAGGTATTCCTAATTCCAGGGCCAATGCTCTATCCATTGTACCAACCCAGTTAACACTAAGAGAATAAACATTTTGAATATGAGATTTATCCTAGATCATGCAGCAAATCTGTGGCAAACTGATTTAACAAATTAATTATTAATTAACAGACCTCAGTATTTTTAGATAAAATAGTTCTGATTATACTCTTAGTAAGCCTTTATGTTTAAAAAAGGAATGGATATGGCATGATTTTTTTTTTCTCTTTTCCTCCACAGTATTTGGAACAGCCTTCCTACGGCATTTCATTTCTCTTGCCAGTACCTTCCAGCGAGAGTGAATCCTTTGATAAGTTAAGTGTCATAGAAGAATCTGAAAACACTGGGCATGACACAACTGCTCCATGTGACTGTTCAGCAGAAGTACTACAACAATCCCTACTCTCTGGAAAAAAAAACACCTAGGTGGTCATAGCACTCCAAAAGTTTGTCCAGTCTCATCCACATGAAGAACAGGCAGTGAAATACAGAGTTAGGCCTTCAGATCAAACTCTGACTCAAGAGCTTTCCATAACTGAATTGGTTGTAATTTGAAATGATCATTTGGCAGAAAATCCTGCAGTATAGTTATTTCGTACTTGATAGGTTACTAATATAAAACAAAAAGAGTGCTTTTGAGATTTCTCTTTTGCTAACATACTTTTTGACCTGTCTGATGCCAAACAAGTGACGAACTCGAGAAAAAATAAACATTTGAAGGAATGAATGCCACTAAGAGCCTGTGAAACCCTAGCTCAAAATATGCTGTTCTAAGGTGGGAAAATCCTCAGTGCAATTTAAGAAGGTCTAAAGAATGTTGTACAAAATACTAAATTTTTTCCAAGAAAATTTTTACTAGAATTATTTTTATATTTTTGGTTTTGTAATATGAATAGTGCCATGTTAACTTGCACTCCTCTAATTCAATGTGTCAGTGACACAGTTTGTGTGATTATTATAAGACTGAATAATTCAATTGTTTCTGACATTGCCTGTTTCTCAAGGTTGTTTTGAGAATTGAGTGAGGAAATGTTATATAAAATGCTTGTAGCCATGAAACATTATATAAAGTTGAGCTACTGTTAAATGTCAGTTTACAGGGGCAGCTAGGTGGCACAGTGGATAGAGCTCTGGCCTTGAAATCAAGAGTACCTGAGTTCAAATATCAGACACTTGATATTTCCTAGCTGTGTAACTCTGGGCAAGTCACTTAACCCTGACTGCCTCACCAAAAAGCAAAAAATTTTAAAAAAAAAACATATATATATATATATATATATATATATTATTAATTTGCAATCGTAGGAACATGCCCTTCTATTCCTCTGCTCACTCTGTTCTCTATTCCTGAGAATACCTCCTTCCCCTATTTGCAATCCTTGCTTATTTGAAATGTTTCTTATCTTTCTAAGCTCAAATATTACCTGTTCCATGAAGTGTTCATAGATTCCAGGTCTATGCCAAACCTCTGAAATTTCACAGCAATTTGTTCATATATTTAATGCACATCTCTGTTTTGTGTTATATTTATTTATGTACAGGTCATCTTTATAGGGCCTTGTACATCGTAGGTGTCGTATAAATCTTTGTAGAATGATGTGTTAAAAGAAATCCTCGTGGGGGCAGCTAGGTGGTGCATCAGCCCTGGAGTCAGGAGGACCTGAGTTCAAATCCAGCCTCAGACACATAACACTTACTAGCTGTGTGACTCACACAAAAGAAAAAGAAAAAAAAAAGAAATCTTTGCTCAGGCCTTCACCCTTAAATGAAGCAAACTCAGGAAGTGAAAGTTAATAGGAATTTACCCAGCTCTTCAAAGTAGAGAAGCATTAGGAGGGCCACCCCCAAGTCTATAACCAGAAATAAACATCTTCCAGGGCAGCTCAATGGTGCAGTGGGTGGAGCACTGGCCTTAGAGGCCAGACCTCTGTTCAAATACAGCCTCAGACACTTACTAGCTGTGTGACCCTGGCAAGTCACTTAAGCCTGTTTGCTTCAGTTCCTCTTCTGTCAAATGAGCTGGAGAAGAAAATGGCAAATCACTCCAGGCTCTTTGCCAAGAAAACCCCAAATAGGGTCACAAAGAATCGAATGTGACTGAAACAACTGAACGACAAAAATTCCTGATTCCAGTTCCAGCACTCTTATCCACCGATACCTCATATGTCAGATCTGTAACTTCAGGAAAACCAACTATCCTAAAGATCACCAGCCTAGAAGTTCTGTTTCTCCTCAATTTTATCTGGTACCTATAGGCAGCCCTAGCAAAAAGGAAGTGAGAGATAATAACCTTTAATAACCTCAGGGTTATTTGCTTTGGCTGTTGCTTGTTGCCAAGGCAGCTTAGCTGCCCTGACTTTGTTAATGGGGTAACACTCTACAACTTAGCTCCTACATTTATAAAATGAAAGGTTTTGGCTAGATGATGTCTAAATCCCTTCCAGCTTTAATATTCAATAATCCTATGCTTATGCTACTCCTGCTTCCATCTAAGCCTCATCCAACTTTATTCCACACTGCCTGAGATCCAGGAAATCAAGCTGATTATCCCCAATTTCCCCACAAAACCTGGGTAATTAGTACAGATATCTGGGCATCTATTGGTCCCCATGATTCCAGTAAGGTAGGTGGTGCCATTTGATTCTTAACCTGCCACTATCTTTACTGTCAGCAACTGCGTAGGCAGCGGTGGTGCTAGCTAAAGTGCTGGGCCAAGAGTCAGGAAACCTGAGTGTGAATCCTACTTCTGAAACTAAGGAGCTGGGTGACCCTGGGCAAGTCACCTAATCCCTCTTTGCCTCAGTTGCTTCATCTATAAAAATGGGGAAAACAATAGCACCTACCTTTGCAGGGTTGTTATGGGAATCAAAAGAAATAACATGTACACAGCTTTGCAAACATCTTAAAAGCCCTAAATAAATGCTGACTGTTATTAGGTTGTGGAAGAAAAGAGACAACAGGTATTTAGGGTGGTAGAAGCTTAATTCAAGGTGCTGCTAGGTGGTACAGTGTATAGAGCACTGGGTCTAAAGTCAGGAAGACCTGAGTTCAAATCTGCCCTCAAACATTTACTAGGTATAGGAGCTGGGCAAGTCACTTAACCCTGTTTGCCTCAGTTTGTCATCTGTCAAATGAGCTGGAGAAGGAAATGGCAAACCACTCTAGTATCTTTGCCAAGAAGATCCCAAATGGGGTCATGAAGAGTCAGACACCACCGAACAGCAGACAACTGCCCTTTTCACTTTATCTTCTCAGCTCTCAGCAAACTAGACCATTTTAGACCTCCATCATTCTTAGGGCTCTTTTTCTATACTCTTTTTCTCATGGGTCTGCAACATACTTGTCTGCTGTTGTACACTATTCAGCTTAATTGAGTGTCACCTTTTTTTCCCTTGGCTTTTTCTTTTCTTTTCTTAGTTCTAGTGGAACTTAAGACCTATCTGGTGGCTACCACAGTTTCCTAGATTCAGGTCTTCTGCCAGTTCTGAGAACAACTGGATCTCTTGCCAGATCCAAAACTCCAGCCTTCCCCTCTGTGAGCTGCTCTTCACTTAGTGTGTTTTCTTACCCTTGTGGTGAAGTGAGATAGTGGTCTACTATTTGCAATGGATTCACAAGACATAGTTTCAAGTCCTGGTTGTTAACTTGCAGCCTGTTTCACACTGGGGAGTCATTTACCCCTTTTGGACCCCCGCTTTCTTATCTGTGAGATGAAGGGGTTAAACAAAAATGACCTTTAAATTTTCTTTCCGTTCTAAATCCAGTGACTCCATGACTTCACCCTCACTTAAGGCATCCAGTAGCAACCAGGATTCAGCGGAACCTCTTTCTAGATTTCTTCGAAGCAGGGCCACTGCAATTACAGTGAAATCTTGGATTGGAAAGAGCTCCAGGGTCTGTCGTGCCAGGTCCACGTGGCTAGAACTACAACTCTCAGCAGCTGTACCTTTTTAGACGAGGCTTCCTGCATTAAGTGGCACACTGGATAAACTGCTGAACTTAGAGTTCATATCCAGCCTTGGATAATCACTAGCTGTATAGTCCTGGGTGGGTCACAACCTCTGCCTGCCTTAGTTTCCCCATCTGTAAAATGGGAATAATAATAGCACCTACCTCCCAGGGTTGCTGTGAGGATAAAATGAGATTATATTTGTAAAGCATTTTGTAAACTATAAAGCACAATAGAAATACTACACATTCTCTATTTTTTATTCACCAAAGACAGCAAGGACTAAGATTGTGAACCCATGTTTCAGTGACAGGGAATTTTTCTATTGTGTCTCTTAGATCTATGAGCCACTGACCAGTGCTAGGAACAGGTAACTCAGGTCAACATCTGTGCCCTAGTGGAAGAGAGTTTCTCCTCTATTTTGGTCAAGGTGAGGTTTGAACCTTTAGCAATAATTAGTAATTAATAATAATATTAAATCTTATTCATATATTACCATTTGTTCAGCCATTCCCCAGTATTTGTCTACATAGTTTGTTTCTAACTTTTTGTTTTTATAAATAGTGCTGATATCAATAGTTTTGTACAGTTTTTTTCTGTCAATACCTCTTTAGAATATAAAACTAATGGTCCTATAGAATCAGAGACTATAATAAAAATTGTAATTTTTTTCTTATACAGTTATTTAATGGAGAATTTTTAATAGGAAAAACTTTTCCCATAAGTCCTTCAAAATTTGTTGTTTTACTTTTTCGTCAATTTAGCTAATCTAATGGGTATAATATGATATAATATGATAATATGATGAATAATAAAACAACCTTTCAGTTGTTTTAATCTACATTTTTCCCATTATTAGTGGTTTAGAGCATTTTTTCATATGACTGTTAATTGCCTAGACTGCCTATTCATATCCTTTGACTATCAATTAGGGAATGGCTTTTATTCTTATGAATTTGACTCAGTTCCCCATATTTTAAAAATTGAGATATTTATCAGAGAAACTTATAGCTAAGTTTTTCCCCTGTTTTTCTCCTGATTTTAGCTGCATTAGTTTTGTTTGTGCAAAAACTTTTTCATTTTATGTAACCAGAATTGTCCATTTTACCTCCTGTAAACTTCTCTGTCTCTTTTTTGGTCACGAATCCCTCCCTATTTGTAGATCTCACAGCCAGTTTCTTCCATGTTTCTCTAATCTGTTTATGATGTCATCCTTTACCTCTAAATCAGGTACCAATTTTGAGCTTATTTTGGTATATCATGAGAGATATTGATCTCTACCTAATTTCTACCAGGCTGTTTTCCCAATAGTTTTTATCAAATTCTGAGTTCTCACCCCAATAGCTGGCATCTTTGGGCTTATCAAAACCCAGATTACTGTGTTCATTTACTTCTATTTATTGTGTACTTAATTTATACCATTGATTAACCTCTTTGTTTCTTACACAATATCAAATTATTTTGACAATTATAGCTTCGTAGTATAGTTTGAGATTAGGAACTTCTAGGATCCCTTCTTTCTCATTTTTTTCGTTGATTCCTTTGATATTCTTGACATTTTATTCCTTCAGATATTTTTTTTCTCATTCCATATACCCTTTGGTAGTTCAACTGGTGTACAACTGAATAAGTAAATACAGCTAAGTAGTATTGTCATTTTTATTAAATTGGATTGATCTACCCAAGAACAATTAATGTTTCCCCAATTATTTATATCTGCCTTTGTTTGCATAAAGAAGTTTCTAATTGGTGCTCATATACTTCCTATGTGTGTTTTGGCAAACAGACTCCCAAATATTTTATAATGTCTATAGTTATTTTAAATGGAATTTCTCTATCTCTTCCTGCTGGATTTTGTTGGTAATATAAAGAAATGCCAATGAATGCTAAACCCCCAATTTTGAGGGTTAATTTTATACCCTGCAACTTTGCTAAAGTTCTTGTTATTTTGATTAATTTTTCAGTTGATGCAACCAAGATCAGGAGGGAAGCAGAAAACTGGGAAAGAATTTTTACAACCAGTGTCTCTGATAAGGC